GGCAACTCAGAAATACCACTCATATACCACGTAGAGAGAGTACGATCAGGAAAGTCCTATGCGACAAGAACAGTGCAGGCGCGCCAACGGGGCAAGGTCATCTTCACGACAACTATGAGTTTCGTGCGCCAGAACAGTGGAGGAGCGAAGAAGGTCGAGCATGTGGTCCCAATGGCCGACGTGCCAGGCCCAGAGGAGGATTCGGACTCGGAGATGCATCCCAGCGGCCACAGTCCGTTCCAGAGCCAGAGACTGGCGACCGAGAATGGTGAGTGCTGTCACATGTCAACTGTCACAGCCCAGCCTAACCCCGTCCAGAGGACTCCGACAAACCTCACACCAAGAAGTGCCGCCAATGGGTGAAGGCGCGCGGTCGCATCTCCCCCGCTGGAGGCCACGAGGCCCACCTCTCCGCCATCGCCTACATGTCCGACAGCTACTTCATCGGCACCGTCGCGCGCGTCCACAAGCTCTGGCGCTATTCCTCACAACGCAAGAGTGCCGCTAAGTCCAGCATCGGCGAAGACGTGCTCAAGACACTGCTGGAGATGGACGATGCCGAGTTGAAGCGCCAGTCCGTTAGCGAGGCAGACATCAAGCGTATACAGCGCATCAAGAATGGTGAAGACCCAAAGAAGGTTGCGGATGATGTGCCAGAGATTGGCATGATGGTCAGTCTGGACCACACCATTTACTTCCACAACCCTCGTACCTTCAGGGCCGATGAATGGATCTTCACCGAGACAGAGACGCCCTGGGCTGGCGATGGTCGTGGCCTCGTCTTCCAGAGGATGTACACGAAAGATGGAACCCTTATCGCGACCTGCGTACAAGAGGTAAGACTTCCGCACTTCAGTCATACACTCAGCGATGCTAACCTGATCAGGGTCTTATTCGACTTAAGCAGAACGACAGCAAGTTGTGAAGACGCAGTCATGTTCCGGTCTTCTTATTTGCGTTCTCACCCACCCGCTTGCATAGACTTACATCCTTTATTGATAGATCAATTAGACCTGACCGAAGTTTCGACATCCAACTCGTTTCTCTCACGCGTTCGCATGAGTCTTCTTACTGACGCGGACCAAGCCGCTTCGCAGTTCACAGTAGTTCACGGTTGTGCCGTGCTTACGCTCACCCGCTCGATATTCACTTACCGACCAGTGCACATTTATACCCACGAATGAGTATTGAGATCACGATGACTGGATACGACCAACGAAAAAGGGTCCGATGATTCAGCTCGCGAGTGACCGTGACCCGTTGGTCTGAGAGAAGCAGAACAAAGAAACAGACCACAACATGTCAGTAGCTCCTGCCGCCGAACCCAGGAATGAGCGCCGTGGCTTCCCGTGGAACCTTCCGCCTTTCACCAAGCACGTGCGATGACCGGAAGCAACGGCTAGCTTGGCCTCGTTGACGCATACTTATGGTACATGGTCGCCGCTGCCTGCTCGACATTACGCTTCCCTCAGCTCTCACTCACAACGCAAGGTCGTCCTCACACACCCCACCTCCTACAACTCAATCATAGGACACATGCCACTCTCCTCGAAAGCATGACTACCGGCCCCGTGTTGCCTGTGCCGGAGCGAGCAAGCCGTAGGACTCATATACGATGTGGGTGGTGACTACAGAACTTAAGTAAGCATTGACTCCCCATGAGTCTTTACGTACGAGGCCATGGCTTTGGGCAAGTCGGAGGTAAGTATAAATCCTGGCGTTTCCGTGCAAAATGCACTTCTTCTCTACACGCAGTGTCTGGTGTATACCATCATCGTTTACAACAATTACGAGTAGCTACACACGGCTATCGCACAGCACAAAGAACCCTCTACTCACTTACTGAAGCACCGGAAGCTACCCTTGCCAGATCAACAAGATCTTGCCATGCCTGACGGTCGTGAACGCCAACCCTACCTCAGCAAAGGCTGGCGTAAGCAACTGGATTCCTACGAGAAAGGTCTCATACAAAGTACGAGCGAGTTCCCCCGTCACTGCTTCTACTTCTGCTGGCCCAACAAGGACTCTATAAACAGCGACGATTGGAAAGCCGGTCGTGTAGGTTATATTTGTGACCCGCAGTGGGCCCATGCCATCTACCCTTATATTTTCGACGGCGACTGGCACGGAGACGGTGCCTCACTACAGCCAATGGGAGAGAATACCAAGCAACTCCAAGCGCAACTGGCAGACGAAAGACCGAAATTCATCAAGAAGAATGGCCCACCGGTTGGTGGTGGCATGGCCAGGGAGTGGTCCGATAGCGTAAGGATATTGAGTTTCTGGGTGACAGGCGGCCCAGATGATAAAGGACCCAGGACAATTGATCCTATCGGACTTGACCCAGACGGTAAAATACAGCTCAAGCGTAAGGCCTGACATATGAAACATACGTGCCGCAACGCTGAATTAAAAGCAGTTCTCATCGCCGCCAAGATGTATGCGAAGAGAACAGCCTGGGACAAGACTGACTACAAGGGCAAGAACGTTACCCGAGAGGAGATCGGTCTCCCCAAGCCAGTGCAGGTTGTCAAGGGAACACCACCGGACGAGGTCAAGAAGATCGAGCTTCTCTTGGACTCATTGGCTGCAGGGCTGCCACAGCTCTCGGTTCATGGGCGGAGAACTTGGGTAGACCCGCCTTCGGCAGACCAAGAGAAAATCGACGATCTGGCAGCCTTCATACGGAGTGAAGTGTAGGTTGACAATGAGCAACACGCTCAAACTAGAACGGTGGTAATGATCCCGTTTGATTTCTGTATAAGGTCATAATCTCAAACTGTCACTACCGGAATATTACTCCTCAAATGGTTCCGCGTCAACGTTCATCAACCCAGGTATACACTCAGTCACGTCCGAATGATAATATGTGGGATATCATCGTAAGTAAGCAGGTCGGAGCAAAGCCTTCTCTCATTCAATCATTTATTCGTTCATAGCTCTTGTCGCATCCCCATCATCACCCTAATTCGTAAAATCCTTCTTCGGCGCCTCCCCATCCTCCTTCCCACTCCCATACTTCCTCACATGCTCCTTATTCGCCCCCTTATCCTGTTCAAACTCCTTCAACTCAGGCGCACTCATATGCTTAACCACATTATCCGCCTGCCACTTCTTAAAGCTAAACCCCACCCCCTCATGACTATAATCCTTATCATTCGCCTGATCCTTATGGTATTTAACCTGCATAAACTCCGTATCCCTCGTGTCCGGATCCAGACTCAGCGATACCAGGCCCGTGATGGTGGCCGTCTTTGGGATGAGTTTGAAGGTCCAGGACTGCTTGTTTTTGAATTGGATCATTTCGGAGTCTGAGCGGATTACTTGGTAGGATTCGTTGATGGAGGCGTTGAAGAGTTTGGGGAGCGCGAACCATTGGCCGGCCATTTTGTAGCGGTCGTTGGCGTAGACGAATTGGTCGTCGTAGACGCAGTCTGGGGTGTAGCGTTTTACGCGGGTGATGGTGGGTTGGCAGGAGTAGAGGGCGATGATCTGGGGGGTGAGGTGTTAGTCTTTTGTATGTAGGCAGATGTTGCAAGAGAGGTGGGCTTACGTCGTCGACTAAGGCCTGGCGTTGCGGGCTGAGCTTGATGCTCTTGCTTGGGTCGGGCTCGTAGTCTTCACTCGTAGCCGTCTGTCTGGGCTCGAACTGCTCGCCGGGCGCTTCGCTCGTCTTGGGGAAGCCTGAGTTTCCGCTGCTGACGATATCGCCGGTGGCCTGTCCGCTCGTTGAAGTCGACATCTCTGCTCTTTGCTGTCCTGCTGCGAGTCGAGGAGGTGGGTTGCTACCGCTTGGATTGGACTGCTGCTCTGCGTTCCAAAGCTGCACGGTAAGTGCTTTCTGAGGATGCTTGAGGGCGGGTTTACTGATGAAGTTCTTGAGATTGGTTGAGAGGAGCTTGGAGCGAGAGCCACTGGTTGCTGCAGGCATGGAGTTTGGGTTGTCGGAAGCTGAATCCATTGACGCGGTTGTGTACTATATACGTGTTGTCCTAGGTTGACGCGTGCATGCGTGAGCGTAAGATGACGACAGTGTTAATTGACAGCGGTGCTAGATGCGGGAGTCGATGATTCATGGACTCGAAGATCGGGAGATCTGAATGTTCACGCGCGCGTTTTGGTGTAAGAAAAGGATGGGGGGTGGGCGCCGTGACCTGCATCTTGATCTGGGCCCTAACATGGGATTTCAGGGCAGATTTGTGGAGAAGCGTTGCGTATGCCATGGGATTTGATGTGTCGAGGGGTGCGGGTAAGGCTGATCGGCATCTTTCGGGTGTTGCGGCATGACGTACGGTAAACTTCCTTTTCAGGCAACTTCGGATTGCTGTCGATGGCGGTGTTAGCGTGTATACGCGCGCTGACCCCCTGGAGCGATCAGCCTGATCCGGCCTACCAGCCTCGCAGCACCTGCGCGCTCCCTACGCGTCGAAAGAGTCAGAATGACAATAACGATGCGAGTCACCATCAACATGAAGTATACGGAAGCCACAAGCCATACAATGGAAAGCAGCGCGATTGATTCAACCAAACAAAAAAAAAGCGCGTCGCGCAAGTCAAGCACTCCAATGGTACCTTTCTCAGAAGCCGGTTAACCTCGTGATAGATTACTGCTACAGTTACATGAGCTATCTAGATTCCAATCAGAAGGCCACCGTCATTACTTTTCGTTCGATACATTACTCCAAACCATTCCGCGCAGTCGCGTATCGCAGGACACTGTAATAAATGCTTGCTGATAGGGCGCATACAAAATGCTCATGGCCAAGCCATGTGACGCATTCGCCATGACCGGGCCACGCCGCCGAAGAAGAGTAGTAAAGGTCATTAGTGATTACAAGAGAACGTCGTAATGCGTTGCCCGTCTATCCTCCGTGTGCCCGTGTCGTCGTTGTGTGGGGGATTAAAAGGGGGTTGGGTGAAGTCTTGCGATGAAGGAGAGTAAGAAAAGCGAAAAGTGTGCTTTTGTACATCTTGTACAAAGTGTGGTAAGAGTCGACCGCTCAGACGAAGTAAGCGAGAGCGGCAGCACCGGCCATGAAGGCAGCGAGGGGCTTGGTGGAGCTAGCAGCGCCAGTGTACTCGGGGTAGCCAGGGGAGGTAGCGGACGAGGCGTGGTAAATGGATGATGAGGCGGTACCGACGGGTGTGGAGGCGTGGGAGGAGGCAGGGGGAACAACGACAGTGGTAGTCTCCTCAGCAGGAGGAGGAGGGGCGTATCCGGAGGAAGACGCCTCGGGGACGACGGGAGTGGAAGTCTCCGGGATGGGGACAGACTCAGTGATAACAGGAGGGGGAGGGGCGTATCCGGACGAAGACGCCTCGGGGACGACGGGAGTGGAAGTCTCAGGGATGGGGAAAGACTCGGTGATAACGGGAGGGACGGGCACGGATGAGGTGACGACGGGAGGGACCACAGGGTAGGTGGAAACCGCTGGGATGGGCACAGACTCCGTGATGACGGGAGGGACGACTGGGTAGGTGGAAGCCTCGGGTACGTAAGGAGTGGAGCTGGGAGGAATGACAACAGTCGAGGTGATGGTGACCTCAGTGGTGCTGGAGACCTCTGGCACGTAAGGCTTAGAGCTCGAGTATGGCACGTAGGGCTTGGAGCTCGAGAACGGCACGGTGATGGTCTCAGTCTCCGGGCAGGGAGAGCTGGAGCTCACGGGTGGTACGTAGATGGAGGTGGACGTAACGACCGGGGGAGTGTAGGTCGAAGTCACAACCGGAGGAGTGTAGGTCGACGTAACGACTGGGGGAGTGTAGATTGACGTCTTAACGGGGGGAGTGTAGGTGGAGGATGGCACAACAGGTGTGCTTGACTCCGGGCACGGGGTGCTGGAACTCGCGGGTGGGGTGTAGATGGAAGTGGACGTAACGACTGGCGGCGTGTAGGTCGAAGTCACAACCGGAGGAGTGTAGGTCGACGTCTTAACGGGGGGAGTGTAGGTGGAGGATGGCACAACAGGGGTGCTTGACTCCGGGCAAGGCGTGCTGGAGGAGACATGGGGGACGCTTGAAGACTCATGAACCGGGTAGCTGGAGGTGACGACAGGTGGGACGTAAGTCGAAGAGGTCACAACCGGAGGCATGCTGCTGCTCTCTTCTTCGCAAGGAGTGCTGGATGCCTCGTAGGGCTTGCTCACGGAGGGAGAGGCACCGTATCCGGACTATATGCTGTTAGAGTTGAACGCTTCAACAGCTGAGGGTACTTGTGTTAACATACAGAGGAAGGCACAGCGTAGCCGCCGCTGCTGGAGGCGCCGTAGCCGCCACCGTAGGGGGCAGCGTAGACAGCGCCCACGAGGGCCATCGTTGCCAAGGAGTATCTCATCTTGTTCTGACGAGAGGTGTCGGAAGTATTAGGGAGTAAAGAGTATTACTAGGTGATGGGTGCGAAGCGAAAGTAACAGAGCAACCGTAACGAAAGAGCTGCTGTGTTGAAGATCGAAGACTTGATGAAGCTTGAGAGGCACGATAGATGAGACCGAGGAGGAATGTGAACCTAATATACTCATTAGGGGAGGCGGGATCTTCACACCCTACCAGCCTTCTGCTCTGCCCTACCCATGGGAAAGCCACAACAGGGTCGCATCCACGCACGACGGTTGAGGGGCTCCGAAGTCGTTCCCCACATTCATCCGGACGTTTTTAGTTCCAAATCACCTCAAGTCGATCATGTTCGTAGTCTCGGCCATACCACGGGACGAGGCTCTCTCGGTATGGCAGGCGTCTCTAAGAACGTTTGCTGGCCAAGTTTACCCTAGCAACCGGCTGCGAAAGATCGCTAGTCAGCGAGCGACTTACCTCAATTGTAGCTGCATGTATAAGGCTACCAGGATAGTCGGTGGTTAGGAGAACACGACGCCCTGCCTTCTCATGCATGCTGACTTGGTGACCGTTTTGGTAGCCGCAGAGGTTGGAACTTACAGCTGTATTCCAGCCACCCCACAAACCGATGGTGAGTGGCAGTGACATAACGTTGTCCTAACATGGCATAAGTCTTCAGCCGCACCAATGAAACGCCATCGAACCGTTTTCCTGTATTCAATGTGTCACCGGGTAACACGAGGGTCATTCTGTGAGTCCGAAATCCAAACAGCCAGGTATATTTGCGCGGACTGCAGGGCCGCTAAGACATCGTGGGCTTTGGTCTGTCGTGAACACGAGCTGTGCACCAACATAATGGGACTTCGGCTGACGGCGGTCTCAGTGGAAGCTTGGAAGATTGTCTATACTACTGTCCTAGCATGACAGCGATAAACAAGCTTCCTTGGGCGTATTGTTGAGAAACTGTACAATGTTGCGACCCTGCACTGTAGCAAGGATTATCTTACATCATCCCGGGAATTGCGCGTGTATTGGGACGCGCTGACCAAACTTTCCACCTCTTTGCACGCGACAGAACTGTAGTAATGAGAGTTGTGCATGGCGCGGACTCTCCTCCGTTTGTTTGCTGTCCTTGGGCGCATGGCCGGTCTCAATCAATAGCTTTGAGCGTTTGAACCGGCCACTGTCAGGAGCTAAGACGGTGGCTTGCAGGCGTGTTTATTGAAAATCCAGGGTGTTTCCATATCGTGAACTTTTCGGCGCATTGCAATTGGCGGACTCATTGGAGGCTGGTAGTGTCCCAGCCAGACTGCTGTAACGTTCGCATGCCTCGCTACCCCGCGTTGCCCCGATCGGTGGGCAATCGCAGTAAGAATCAGAGTTTTCCTGACTGTCGTTGTACGACCGGCTGCGCGTCAGCTTACGGCAGCTGTAGATAGTTCCTGCAGCAGCTGCCGCCGCCGTTCGGAAAGTAATTAGCTGATTGCGACTGGCCCCAACCTAGCAAGGACGCTCAGCCGTATCGTGCATCGCAGTCAGATTTGGGTTCCAGACGACCGTTGTTGTGGTGTTCGGGCGAGCAAGAGCTGCCGCGCACACCTGCAGTTTAGCTACCCGGCGCTTCGTACAAGCGTCCGCGAACGCGTAAAGGTTCAGCGGCAGGCTCCACCCTGCATACGCGCGAGGCAGTAAAACCTTCACCAATATCACTAGGTCATGTCTTGGCCCACCAGCAGATCGCGGCCTTAGTCCGGCTCAGTCCGAAGCTCGGCTTGCGATCAGGAAATAGAGGTCTCTTAACAGCGCAAAACTTGCAGAGGGTTGCCCTGGCGATCAAGCCCGAACTGCGGCGTAACGAAGCACCATGCATAACGACTTGTTCAGTATGATGTCAGTATGGGGGTTCGTCGCATGCTCTTCATAAGCCGAGCTCGATGGGGTCTGATGCCTTCCACGTTCGGGGTTCCCTGTACCGTCGTGGCGGCACCTCAACATCCGTCAGATGTCGCAGTGCTTGCTCAGTGATGAAAAGTTCTTCGAGCACAGAAATTCCGGCCCTGCACATCCGCTACGAATCGCGCAAAGGTATGTGTTGTATTGGTGTCACCAGAGTGTTGTGTCGCAGATCAATCGGTCGTATCTGACGGTAATATCCTTGTGTATTGAGGCCGGGAGCAGACGCGCTGTCATTTCCATGAAGACACTGTGCGCCAGCCACGCGTAAAAAAGCAGGCTCGTTGCAACGCGACTAATCGTCGTCATCGCTTTCTGATCCACTATCCCAGCCTTCATCGTATTCTTCCGCGAGGACTTGTAAGCCGTTGCATAGCGCTTCCTTTTCTTCAATGCCGCCCATTCGCTTGACGATCTGCTCGACTGCTCGGATCTGATCAGCGACAGTGGTACTTGTCGTCAGCCCCGTATGTACAGCAAGCTTAGTGGAGTGACCGGACCCTACGTCCAGCATCGAACGAGGAAAGCTGTCAAGCAAAGGAAATAGTAGCGGTGCAGCAAATCTGAAACGCGTCAGCCTGAATTCCTCGTTATGCGCCCAGTTTGCAAGCACTGATAATACGGTATACGCATCGATGGTGATGAAGTGACACATACCTTTGCACTGCTGGTCCATTATCGAACCTGTCATGAGGATCACGTTCGTTATCTTCAGACAGGGCCCACTCTCCACGATAAGCCTCCGCGCGCCCAAAAACGTGTTCTTTCTTTCCTTTCCTGGTAGCTGTTCTGTAATCGCGAGTGAAGGTATCAATGTCGAAATGGCTTAGTCGATCGTCGCCCTCACTTGTCTGCCTTGATGTCATGGAACCGACCTTTTCCGCTTTCTCGGCTTCATCGAAAGCCTTATCTGACAGTACCTCCGGATCTGCAGCACTCATCTCGAGCTTCGCTATACGTCGTTTCCCGGTACTGTTGATAGTGTTTTCCAAGTCCTGAAGCGTTCCGCGTCCGCCCAAAGACGCTCTCAAACGTGACGATATGGTCATGCTTTCCAGACCCATGACCTGTAAAGCTGCAACATGCCAGGGAGAAGTTGCATCTAACGATAGATAGCCCGGTAGTTTAGCAGGGCTGTTCGACATCGGTACGTACACCGACGACTGTTCTCCAAGTATTTGAAGAGATCGCGCAGAATTCGCGACTTGTTGTATGCGTCTTTCCTGCTTTATGTTAGTCTGTAATTCCTCCAGAACCCTGATATGAACGTACTCGAGGGGTCGATGAGTTGGCACCATGGTCACCTAGGCCCCATGTCCAAATGCTCATCTTGCCGTACTCGTCTCTGAGCCTTTCGAGCCATCCCGAGGCCCAACCGCCCCAGGCGTCATCAACACCCGTGAAGATCTGGAGCCCTTGAATGCCATCACATTCTTCGACAAACGGTCGTAAATCTCTGTCAACCAGATCTACTTCCCTTTCAAGCTTCTCGAAAAGCTCCATCCCTACGTCCCAGCTCTCAAAGGGCATAAGCTTGTCGTTGACGTCAAACTCGGACAGCTGAACAATGGACTTTGGATGGTAATAGACACGGCTATAATCTGACCAGTATCTGACAGACGACGTACTGAGCGGAGGAGGCTGCAGGCCGGCATCGAGGTGCTCTTGATAGGTGGATTGTGGGATAGTCTCTGTTGCGCGCTGTACAATAGGCTTCGATGGCCAGACACCGTTCTGATCTAATATGCTTCTGTCGTCTTCGGCCTCGTACAGGGCATTGATCTTTCTCATGCTACCAAAAGCACCTTTGAGATCGTATATGAGCGTTCTTGGCGTGAAAGTATCGGACCCATCTGGAGCAACACCCGGCCTAAACAATATGTCATGATTCACAGGTGACTCTGGCTCGGGCGGGTATGTGAAGTAGGACTCCTGCGAAAATATTAGATGAGGCGGCGGGACGCTAAAAACTCGCGACTGACTTGTGTGTTCCAGAAGTGAGTGCCCAGGTAGTTGCTCTGCTTGCCGAACTGTAAAGTCACGATTTCGTGCATGGCGACGAATGAGTAGTAGTGTGTTCAAGGGAACGGATACATATACGATGCCTTGGTGTTGATGTAAGAGCGAGAGATGAGTTGACTGGCGATGGTGCAGACGGAGATAAACGGTGATTGGTGAGATCAAGCTCTGTCATTTGCCCCGCACGTGCACACGCGATGAGGAAAGAGCGATACCCCACCGCAACGTCCCAATCCACAACCTATTATCATGAGACTCGTTTTCTTTTGGCTATATCATGCCTTGGAGGTGCACACCGTGTTCCAAATTAACATAGCATAAAAAGTGTTGTGATGGTATCCTCGGTATGCTATGGATGTTAGGTGCGATAATGAAAGGGCCATGTCTTGATGAATCTTTCCGTAGAGTCCATGAGGTCTACGAGGTCTGCAGGCCGATCATTCTAGATGCTATTGAGAGCAAATCGCTCGCTGAGCTGGATGACCATGACCAGGGAGGGCGCAAAGTACTGGCGGTAGCTAAACCCTGGAAGCTCCTGCTAATCACAGAGCGGTTCGAACATTCAGACACAGAACTATCAGAGAACTCATTAGCGGACATGATGAGGCGGGCAAAAGATCGGGTTTAGGGTGATTTACACATAGCCCATTCGGAGTGTATAGTATGAAGGTACGCCTACCAGAGATCGAAAGGCGCTCTCTCATCAATCACGAATGTATCAGGTAGACCCATGCACACTCTCCACCCATGTTCATCACATCGTTCCCTCTTCGCTCGCCAAATCGTGCTCTCGTTATATAACCGAGCAGGTGGTAACGACGCTCAGCTGGAACTTGGTATCGTGTCACGAGTATGCCTGCGCGCTTGCAAAACGATCGTGTACTACGGCTGCGAGTGCGGTCTGCGAGATGATCAATATCCCGGCTACATTTAGTGCTCGGTCTTCAGAGAAAGCTTGGACGATAAGCCCTCTACCGTCCACTTGTCTGGCACGTAGCATCCATCAGGCAGTTGCTCGACTGTAGTCCATGCCATGCTCTATGACAAGCCAGCGGCAACTGTGTACTACAGGAGCACTTACAGCGGCGCGTCGCTACTCTAGCATGAGCGGAGACCATGACCAAACGGCAGGTCGTCTCCACGGTAGTGCGTACCCTGTGCAGGAGAGCAAGCTCCTCAAGCCTATAGCGACAGTGGCTGTTCAACGCGCCTAGCCGAAGCATCGACCCACAAGACCAGCGACATGGCTTTTTATATGCCCCGAGACCTGTTCTAGGCGGGTTGCGCTGGCCAGCCTGCGCGGAAGTTGACATCCTCGTCCAGCTGCACTGTCGGCTGCCGAACCGACACAAGCTTCCCGCATGTTATACCCCATGTATGGTTGTAGACCCGCCATTGCGGTTGCTGTTATCACAGGGTGAATCTTGCGGTGTCCACCCGATATCGCGACGTATCAGAGGCTGTGTCCTGTTCGTGACAGGTCGTTTCGACATTGGTGTTCAGCGCGACGCGTCTTCGCGCACTGTAGACGCGAGCGAGATGTGCCATCGGTAGTCACGGCGAGCTGGACAATTTCTCTAAAGGTTCGGCGTCCAATAGCGAGGTCGGTTCGTCTGTTTATCGTACGTCATTCGGCGGTGTGGAGGGGGGTTTGATGTCCTTTGATGTCCTTTGCTGGTGTGCCTGCCCGAAGTACCTTTCTTTCGCGCTAGCCCAGTCGTTAGCGCGACAGGTATCCCGCTCCAGGTCGTTTGCATCTCCATCACTCGTCTCATACACGAGCACATTCAGCCTATCACAATATTGACTCACATCCGGCACCACTGCAATGTCTCAATTCCCCTGGCGGTCAGGCCTGAACGGCTGCCTTAACGCGTCCGATGGCGCCCCTCTCTTGGCACTCAGATCGCCCGTCACCCATTGTTTGTAGTGACTAAACCCAACCTCGCGGGCACCCGTTATTGCAATGACGAAATTCAAACTTATGGTCACTCTCCATCCTAATTGACTCAACCTCCTGCTCCTGTGTTACTCAATTCGATCCTGGCACGCCTGATCACTGCCACTCTCGTACTCTGGTCTAGTCACCTCCATTCTCTGGTCTTGACGAATCGCTCACGAGTTCAGCAAGTCTTGAATGAGAATATTACAGATTCAATAACTGACGTTCTCGACACATCACTCTAATCGAAATCACTCACCCCGTATCAGCCGCCAGCCGACATACCTCCATTCGCACCTCGCCACAAACCGTACTATGGTATCAGACAGCAAGCCGAGTTCCCATTTCACCGGAACAAACAACAAGGCTAACACATTCCCTGTACATCATGAGGCCTTGACAAGACTTCGCGAGGTCCTTCCCGATAACCTTTGGCCGGAGGTACGCCCAGCACTCTCAGAAGACGTATCGTTCGGCAAAGCAGAGCTTCAACCCGGGAGGGTACTGATCGGCCACGTCTACTCGGAAAAAGATCCGGGACACGATACTGCGGAAGAACGCGCCTTATGGGCACATCTCTGGAAGATCGATTGCAGAGGAGGTGCTGTACTCAGTTTTTACTACAATACCCAAGAGGAGCTCCGAATTGGCGAGCCGAAGTTCCGCAAGGTCGCATTCCAGAAATGGTGTTGCATGATCGCTACAGACCAGTCACCTGTGGGCTCTTCTGGTGGCGAATGGGAGAGGCGCCTCAAGACAGTCGTAAAGATTGCTCTCCTTGGGAGTGGATACTTGAACCCAAAAGATTATACTTTTCCAGACCTGGCCACAATTATCAGTGTCATCAACAAGCGCAAGCCTACCCACCAGGCCAGTTCTTCTTCAATGCGAAACGCCAATGGCAAGCGTCCGTCCGAGGAAGACGACCTAGAGACATTCGTCGAACAGATCATGGCACCTGACTCTGAAGACGACTATCTGGATGGAGATAACGAGGAAGATGCGTCTCTGACAGAACCTAGCAGTATCGCTCACGCGCGTTCTGCAAAGAAGTCTGGTATGCAACCATCGCATATACAAGAACTGCAGGAAGCATTTCCACCTACAGTCTGGCCACGTGTCGAGGTCTGCAATGAAAACGTCGGCAAGATCTACCCCGGAAAAGTCTTCCTTGGATCTTTGCCATCTGCAAAATCGCCGAGCGGTTCACCACAGGAAGTGTGGGCAAGGGTCAAAGGGAAAGCGTCCGCCAAAAGGTCTGGACACATTCTGTGCTACTGGAACAACGGCCGAACGGCAAACTTGAGGGATGGAGATCTTGTTAGTAGGATAGATTTCGACAAACCTTTTCGATATCTTGGAGATCCTGAAGCACGCGAAACGAAGATTCACACACGCGATCCCTGGCGGGCTTTGGTAGCCGTTTGTGTACGGGCAGCGCTCGTGCACGCGGGACTAGTTGACGGAGACGAGCTCTCAATCCAGACAAAACCAGCACGAGTCGCAGAGATCATCCGTCAACACCGGGAGAAGCTTGACACCAGCACCGCAAAACCCGCTGATGTGGAAGCTTCGGGCGATGTCATTGCTTCATCCAGCATTGGTATTCTTGCCAGTGCTCCGATCACCCCGATTGCAGACATGAGGCCCAAAAAGCGTCGTATGGACTCTGGTCACGAAGCTGGTGATGATGCTGGAGATTCAATCTCATTGGCCACGACACCAGCCCCAAGAGGATTCTCAACCGTAAGCTCAGTAAGTCACTAAACACCTTGTGCTACCCTTCTAACCCTCGATCAGATATCCCCGTCGATACAGTTCCTCAGGAGGGCTCGTGAGACTGGGCCAGGGTCATCATCTTACGAGCTCGCCGCGTCCAAGAAGAAATGTGCAAGTCTCGAAGCCGAAGCCGAGCGACAAAGGACGGAAAACGAACGGCTTCAGGCAACCTGCAAAGAGAATACTGTTAGCGCAGCAACTTTGCGAAGTGAGTTGGCCGCCGCCCGTGAGAAGATAGCGAAGCTGGAGCGAGATGGCGCCGAGCTACAAACGGAGACGAACAGTCTCAAAAAGTTGAAGCAAGCGCATGTCAAACATGCTCAGCACATTCTACTCGAAGTCATGGCTTTCGACATTGGTGAACGAGATGGCATCGATCCAGACACGGCAACACGAGATGCTCAGCGCCAGTACGTCGAGACCTACGGTATCGAAGTTGAAGGCGGAGCGCTGAGCGATATGGCTTGAGTGTGTCGAGAATTTTCGACAACTCAGCGATCTTGAAGAAGCTGCTCTCATTTGGTTCTTGCTTACTATGAGCAAAAGTTGCGGTCCTTGTAAGCGCTTCCGCTGTTAGTCAGGCTCTATGTGCCTATAAATGACACAGCCGATGCTATAAATGCAGCCTCTGTGGCACAATTAGCAGGCGGTGGAGTTACCTGTATGTTATTTTCCTTCTCGGTTTGCTTTCCAAAAGTGTGCATTTACTACTTCCTCTCTATCCACTATTAGGACAGCACTTGGCTGAGCCTCTTTAGAGTGCCTCAGAACTGAGCAGGATGTGTCTAGTCATCTGTATAGCCGAAAAACATTCTTTCGGTATAATTCGCGCATTGCAGTGAATACATTTCTCGTTTGTTATGATCTCATAGGTAATCCGACGACGCTAGCCGCGTTAGTGACGCAGTGCGCCCTCTTTCGTCTTCTACAACTTGCACTGTATCGAGACTGCGCTATCAATCTGATCACGCACAAGCATACCATATATACAGTCGCGACAACAAAGAGTCGGCTCTGTAGCGCTATATCTGTTCAAGTAGATTGTTACAGCCTAGAGGCCAGGTAAGTCCCGTGTTTTCTAAAACGCAAAACAACACCCCAACAGGTTCAAGTACTCTGTAAACCACAGAGACAGGCGGAACCCTAAGGATGTAACGCGATAGCAGTTACTAACTACTACATAGAGCAACGTGCCCCTATGGCGCCCACCATTCAAGAGGTTCGCAGACTAGTGCATCGCGACATACAGTGTCTGCTGATAGAGGCTAACAACTACAACAGCCCACTAAAGATGTACGCATCAACAAAGCAATACTCAAAGACCAGCAAAACAAGCACCCGGCCGTGCTCGCGAAGCTACGCAACGCCATCCCAATCGACTGCTATCCCACGGTGGAAGCCTCACAACAGGACATATACTATGGACGTCCGTTCTACCCCGGTAAAGTCCTCCTCGGTACAAACGATGGTAGTCGCGTGTGGGGCTATCTGCGCCGGATAATGAGTAATCACAAGACGACGATGGAAGTACACTACGAGGACAACCGCGGCGGCGACAATACGGATCATACACCATTTGCGCAGTCTCAGTTCGTACCATGGTGTCGCCTTGTCGCAGATGATGCGTGTCCTCTTGGTACTGCAGCTTGGGAGGAGCGATTGAAGATAGTGATCAAGATCGTGATGTTGGAGGCTGGCTACTCGGAAGCCACGGTCTCTGGTATACCCGCCGATCTACTCACATCGATACGGAAGAATGTCGAGAAGGGTCTGAACAACGTATCGCAAGCAGCTAGGCCAAGTATACGATCGTCGGCGGGCGCAATAGCAGCTCCCGCTGCATCGGCTTCCGCCCCCGGCCACACTGCAGAGGCCAAGGACAGTATCGCACTTGATGTGTCGAAGCCTCGACCGCAGAAGAATACAGCGACACACTACATCAAGGTATTAAAAGACCTCATCCCCGCCGAACATTGGTTCCAGACGCGTCCCATAACGGCCCATGAAGAGCGAGCAATCACCTTGTTAGATCCCAACAGCAGAGAACACTTCGCCTTATTCCCTGGTAAAGTCCTCCTAGGTCATCTCCGTGACGCCGAAAACACACCAGTATGGGCAGCGTTCCGTCATCCCAAACCCACTGCCAAAATACAGACACTGTCGGGACCGTGGCGCATGTGCTTTTTCAATGGTAGCCTGTTCGAGGTCCAACTGCCTGAAACACTAGACGGCGCCATTGATTTCGCGCCTGCGTTCCAGCTACTCACTGAGAGTAAAGACAACGTCGGTACACGCAAAATCTGGTTTGCTAGAATCAGCACGTGCGCACGTGTTGCGCTCATCGACGCTGGACTCCAAGACGACGAGGGCTTTCAGACTCGAGTAGACGCACGACCTAAAGAGCTGGCGGCAGTGATCAAGAAGGCGTGGGCGCGACTACGACGGACACTCCAAGCAGGTGGGCGGGAAGAGGCTTTGCCGACGCGATACCGCCAGTACCGTACAGCGGACGCTTCTGCTGTAGACGCTATAGCGCATGGCCAAACACAAGCGCCTACCGTCACCCAATCCAGAAATGACGAACAGCAAGCAACGTCGCCCAGAGAAGATCTCATCCAAGACCTTATCGAGATATCCGAAGACGAAGACGACATCATGGAATCGGGCTACCAGCTCCGCGCATCCAGCCCATGGCCCACGTTCCCGAAGCGCGAACTCTTCACCCCAGCGCCCACCTCTTCCGCCATGAACAAGAAACAAAAGATCGCTCCGTCCAACCGCACTTCGTTGCTTGACTTCATCAACCTGACTACTGCCATCGACACCCCGGATACCGCTGCGCTCGAGGAACAGGTCCGCACGTTGACTGAAGCCAAGACATCTCTCGAAAACACTGTTGGTGATATGAAAGCACAGATCAGCGACTACAAGACGAAGAGCCATGAGTTGCAGGTGTTCAAGGCTAAGCATGTTGAGCACTGCCAACCTGTGATGCTCAAGTTGCTGACGCAGAGGAACATGAGGAACGGGATTAGTGAGGTGGATGCAGAAAGGGATGCGAAGACGGAGTATACTCAGGTCTACGGTATTGCGATTGTGGAGGACATTGGAGGAGATTGAGAAGCGTACTGTTGACTGTATGGATGTAAAGGGTTTGGATTGATGTCATGGGAAGGTAATATTTTGTTCACAGAGGTCTCAGCTTAGAACCCACCAAGACCATCGTCGCTGTCTTCGTAGTCATAAGACCAGTTATGATCAGCGTCTCTTTCCACCCGTTCTTCTTTACTACCCGTCAACTCCTTCCACTCCCGTTCCTCCACCGCCTTCCCCAGCCCAATAGATAACTGCAAATCCTCGTCCTCACCCTCAAGTGCATGGTAGCTCCACACATAGTCCACATCCGAAATACAATGTGGTTCATTCACGGCGCCAACGCGGCACTTTACTTTCATTAGCTCGACTGCGACGACTGAACCTTCTTCGCCAGAGGAAGCCATGTTAGATGCCGAGTCTACCCGTCGGAAGGGTAGTTGGACTTGTTGTATTTGCGGGGTTTCCGTAGCCTCGGTTATGGGCTCGTGTGACACGGTCGCACGCTTGTGGCTTGGGGGTTTGGAAGTTTGGAGGCCGGTGACGAAGTAGATTGGCTTGTTTTGTTGCGATAGCTTGCGGAGGAAGTCTCGTGTGCTGGTGTCGTTGCGTAAGGTGTCGAAGAGTTGTGATGGTTCGGTGACGCTGACGTGCAATGTAGATGTAGTGTCCTCTTGTTTTGAGCGGGTCACCTTCTGTGTAAACTCTGAAGATACTGAAGGCTTGATGGAGTCGCAGGCGGCGCTTAAAGGGTTGGTAGTGATCTGCCCGAGCGTGATGGATGTTGATGGCGGTGGTTCTGGGAGGTGTAGGATCGACATTTTCGAGACGGATTTGTGTGAGAATTGCGGCTAAGCTGGGTATGTTGAGCTAATGGGAAAGAGTGTAGGTGAGGCCAAGATGAGAAGATGTAGGACAGTCAAATACGAGCGCTGGCTAGGACCAGCGGTGAAGTTATATTGTGACGATGTGGACTTGGCCCAGTCTTGAATCGCACCATGACATAACTGCTGATGCTGATGCGTTAGCATAACGTCTCTGCGCTCGTTGCTAGTTCATTGTGACGTCTGTCATTCGTTGTCGCTCTGTCGTCGGTCGTACGGGAAGGGATGATCATTCGGCGCGAGAGTGTAGCTCGGCTAACAAAGGGCTACGAGGCCCAGTCTTTGCTCCACCAAGGGTTAAGTTACTCAATTGGCGAACAAAGCCCGCAAACTTGCGATTGGGTTACTAAGAAGCAGCCGGGGTGGTCTGATGGAGATCGGCTGACTTGTTCCTGAGTGCGATCCGACCTCGGGCTCGGAAGGCTAGATTGCATGCATCAGCGGGAGGACGCGGAGCCGCATGCTAAGATTTTCCATAGATCTTTGAAGACAGTTTCGCGAGAAGCTGCATAGCCATTGAAATTTTCGTGAAGAGATATCACACGGAGCCTAATATGCCGTGGGTATCTCGTAAGATGAGAGAGTCCACATCTTGCGTGCAACCTTCCGGAACCAGAAGAACAACAGCTATCGCACTGGCGAAAGCGCTCGCGTGCCAATATACGACGATAACAAAGGATAGAGATAGAGATTGCTGATAACGAAAGTGTGCTATAGTGAGCCGCTGCCTCGGGATGGTTTGCAAAGGATGAGGGGTGATTCGTCATGTGAAGAGCTGACTAAGGACGAAACGTGGCGTCGTGGCGCGTGGGCGTGGGCTGGCGTGACGCGATCGACATGACACGCTCTTGGACGTGACATTTGCCCTTGGTAATATATGCGTCGCGCTTGCCGTCATTGCACCGTTGTCGCCTACAATAGACCGTCGCTCGTCCGTCCTTGATATCGAGATGAAGCTGGGTCGGATGACTGGGATGGTCGGCCATGAATGTCGCTGCTTTCGGCAGCGGGCGGAAAGCTGACACTGCCACACTGCGGGAGGAGCATGTACCGTAAACATGACAACGCCAACTTTCGGGCCACTTTTGCAGCCCATACACCTACCAATTCCTACGGCTAGCCTACCATGGCAGAGACATCTATAGCCCCTACCCACCACCAGCGTCGACAAAGTGCTCTCGCCGACATACAATTCGCCTCTATCGTCGACGATGACCTCACACCCTCCGAAGACGAGTCGCCGGAGGAAAGCGCGTTCGGGCTCGAAACAGCACAGTCAGCAATTGGAGTCAGCATAGGAAAGCAGCAGACGCGTCTGACTTCGCCGAAAACGCCGGCTGCGGAAAAGGCTGCTGCCCTAGAGGACACGGAAGACGGAGCCTTTTTCGAGGGCTGGCAGGAAGCTACCGATGCCACACCGGAACTGAGAAAGACGACACCGCGTCCAGAACCGAGCAAAGATGTTCAGAAAGCTGACGTGAGGCCGAAGCCCACGCACACATCGAGCAATGACGACCGCGAGCGGCAATCCGACCCTCGAGCGCGACTCCCTTCGCCATGGCGAGCAGGTCCGAAGACATTCCACAAGGAGAAGGCGGGCGACCATCGAGCTATACTCCGCGAGACCCTACAGATCGGAAGACGGCGGGCATCCTCGAGCGGCTCCATGGGGGACACGATGCGCAAATACATGCCCTTCACCCTGCCCACGTCCATCACCAAATCCTACAAAGACATGCACTTTTCGCTCCCGAGCTTGTCAGCACTTTCGCTCGATACAGAGAAGCCACGCACCTCTGACAGGCGGAGGAGAGATACCTTCGCCAGTAGTGGACCAGCCCGAGACATACCACAGCAGGATGGCGCCAGCCACTCCACACCCAAAGAGTCGAGGAGCGCATCGAGGAGCCTCGTACAGGTGCCACAGCATCCCAATACCGCTCCGATACCCCAGCGCGAATTCAGCGACGAGAGCACCGATACCCTTCAACAGTCCCCTAAGATATCGAGCGACCGACCGGCGCCTAAGTTACGGCGGTCCAATTCCGAGGGCTCTTTGCTCGTATATCGCACAAGGTCTTTTGCGTCTTCGCTCGGCGACGACACGCGCTTCGAGAGTGTACAAGAGCAGGTCAACAGTAGGCTGAAGGCCCTCAGAGACAGCTGGCAAGACTCCAATTTCAAGCTGCCAAGCCCTTCGTTCCCAAACTTCAACCTATCGTCCAGCAGCGAAATATTCAGAACCCGCAATGCCAGTATAGCGTCTAGACTCCGCGAAACCGACAATGTTCGCGCAACCGAGCCTGCATCGGCAGCACGTCGCGACTCGATAAGGAAGAAGCGCCTGCCATCAAAGGGTGGGGATAGCGACTTTGAGCCGTATCCATACTTTACTCAAGCTTTGCAAGAGCTTGAAGGGGACCTGGTCGTGTTGGGAGGCTACCGAGGTTCCATCTTGCGCTCAGCAGAACCGCCCCATCGACAGCTCTGGGTGCCCATAAAAGTCGGGTTGAACCTACGCAAGGTAGACTTGGAGGTACCTTTGGACCCAGATGCGGATGAGCGCATGGAGGAGAGCATTATACCCAGCGGCATGCTGACCCATATCGGCCCCGTCGATATAGCCAAGCGCCTGTTCAAGCGTCTGAATGCATGCGATAATGTCAAGGATGGTAAACTCAGGGTCCACAACTACGGCTATGACTGGCGGCTCTCTCCGCACTTCCTCAGTCGACGGATGATACAATTCTTAGAGTCGCTGCCCTGTAACCAGCCAGGCGTCCCTCCAGAAAAGCGTGGCGCCGTTATCGTCGCACACTCATTAGGCGGCTTGATCACGCGTCATGCTATCAACCAGCGTCCTGATCTAGTAGCCGGTGTTGTATATGCCGGTGTGCCTCAACGCTGCGTGAATATCCTCGGTCCATTCCGCAACGGCGACGACGTCCTCTTCTCCTCACGCGTGCTAACAGCACAAGTAAACTTTAGCATTCGAACATCGTACGCTCTTCTGCCTCTCGATGGAAAGTGCTTCATCAACAAGCGTACGAAAGAAGAGTATCCCGTAGACTTCTTCGACGTCAATACCTGGAAAGAACACCGCCTCTCTCCATGCATAGCAGCACCTCTGCCCCGCCCCGAACAACCCAAAGACAGCAACTTCAGCGTTAGTGGCCTGATGAACGCCGTCTCCTCATCACTCCCAACCTTCTCCACTCGCAAAAGCAGCACCGCGAAAGACGCAGCCGACGTAGCTCGTAACGCCGCGAACAACGTCACAGAAGGAAGCGCCGAACAAGCTGGCATGGGACCACAGATGGGCCACGAACACAACATCGAGACCTCCAAAGAGCCGAACCCAGCAACCGATGTCACGATTCCTTACGACAAAGCCGTGGAATACCTCGCACGAACCCTCGCTGAAGTCAAAGCCTTCAAACAAGAACTCGACCACCGCCCTGAACACACAACGTCAAACGCATACCCGCCCATTGCACTCATCTATGGCAAGTCTACACCAACGGTATATGGCGCAAAGGTAGAAAGCAAAGAAGCTATCAAACGCGCAGACGTGTATGACGAGCTTGCCTTTGCGAGCGGCGACGGTGTGGTACTCGCTCGTGCGGCCATGGTGCCTACTGGGTATAGTGTAGTTCGGGGCGGTGTCGTCTCCAGCGACCGGGGTCACGTCACGCTTCTCGGTGATTTGGAAGCTGTAGGGCGGTGTCTTTGTGCTGTTATTCATGCTAGGCGGAACGGCGTTGGGATGGGGGCTGGGGCGCGGTGAGATTGTAGAGGCGCCTACACATTTTTACCTAGAGTCAATGAGATTAGATCAACTTCATGGACATAGTGCTTCGTCTCTTGTTATGTGTGGATTTGTCCTTGTGCTTCGAGGCGATATCTCTGTGCTATGTAAAGGCAGCAGTCTTCTTGGGCAAAGTGTATGAGCCTCACGCCAGTAGTCTCAACAGCCCTGAGGAAACCACATGCCTCTGAACCGTCATCACACAAACTCGTCGCAGCAAACAACAAAACCGCGCTGGTCTTCGCCAAGCCATCTGCCCTTCTCCAACAGTCGCGCTCCTCGTGTGTCTTCATCGGCCCTTCTCTCGGCACTACCCCCTCGTACAAAGGTTCGCTGGGCGTCGCGATCTGCGAGTGAACGGTGGAGCGGAGCGGAAGGCGGCTATAGGCGATGCGACGCGACGGACGGTACGGACGGGCATCGTGTGCGCGGCGTTGTTGGGTTCGAGTTCGTAACGAAGTCATGTTTTGAGGTAGTACGTGCCCCCAGGTGGGCACGTACCTAACTGGCTTTGTTGCGCCCTTGATGTAACGTCGTCTCGTGGTCTTTGCGCTGGAATCTTGGGTAGGAGTCGGGACTAGAACGTGTAGATAATGTTCAGCTTGTGGGGGATCCAGGAGAGTATTGCTTTTTCAACAACTGCTGAGAACCTCGGCAGGTCTGGAATGGGCATCTTCTTGAGTAGGAATGAGCGATATCAGCGTCGTGCGCAGAACGTTTTTGTACATGTGGAAGGTAGGAAGGAGCGTTCAAGAGGTCTGAATGGAGAAGAGATGAAAGGCATCGCAAACAGATGTGTACTCCAGGAATACCTAGGTATGATTTTCCTCGATAATGCTGACGTCGATCGCGCCAGTATTGCCGAGTTCAATGACCAAGCTGATAACTCCAAACCAACTCAAGAAACACCCGGTGGTGATTACAAATCCATGACCTTCGAGTATGAAAACACAATAGCAGCATACTCGTAAGACCGAAAGCTTAGCCCTCCGAAAAAGAAAAAGAAAAAAAGACCTTCGACTGAAGGGCTCACTAATCCTGAGGTTCCCGCAGTAAATCGCTCAGTTCCAAGGCCGGTACCAATCTGGGCATGCGCTTGAGGCACAAACCGAGCTGATTGATGCAAGTT